ATCCTGTCGATGGTATTCACTCACTCTGTGTAATCCACCTTGAGTCTCAGTGAGAAAGGCGGACTATAAACACGGTAAATAAGTACATTGAAATTGCCCACATTTTACACCGCTCTTTCCCCAGATGTTTCACTCTGAGCTTTTATTGAGGGCCCATCTCCTGATTACTTGGGAAGTGAAACCATCTTGCCCTCCTTTGTCCTCACTGTCTGCTCCCTGAGAAAGGGATGGGAATGCAGGGGCAGCTTGCCTTCAAGATCTCCTTTGTGATGGGTCAGGGAATGAATTGATCCATTTAGCAATGAGCTCACTAAACTGCACCACTCCTCCTTATCAGAGAACCCCTTAATTGACAATGAGATTAAACAACTAGGGCCTCCTGTCTTAATCTCAGAGAGGCAGTTTGGTGTGTGGTTAAGAGCGCGGACTCTAATTTGGGAGAACCAGCTTTGGTTCCCCACGCCTCCACATGCAGCTGTGACCTTGGGTCAGTTATACGTTCTTTCAGAGCTGTTCTCTCAAGGGTTGTTCTCAAGAGAGCTCTCTCAGCCCCACCTCCCTCACAGGCAGTGTTCCCTCTAAGCTGAGTTAGTGTGAGCTAGCTCAGAGTTTTTTAGCCTCCAGCTCACACATTTTTGTCCTGGCTCAGGAAGGATGGCTCCAGGGCAAACTAATTTATGCGGCAGCCAGATTGCTCGCTCACAACTTTAATGCCAGTAGCTCACAAAGGAGAATTTTTGCTCACAGGACTCCACAGCTTAGAGGGAACATTGCTCACAGGGTGTCTGTTGTGGGGAGGGTAAGGGTAAGGAGATTGTAAGCCGCTCTGAGACTCCTTCAGGTAGTGAAGGGCGGGGTATAAATCCAATCTCTTCTTGTGAGCCAGCCCCTTTCAGTGGACTCCATTACCTGTTCCTGCAGAGCTTACGCACGACCCTATCTCTTGCATGCTTCCTCTGTGTGCAGCGTCAGAGAGCATTATTCAAGAAGTCCCCTTTCACTCGAAAGCATTTCCCTCCCAAACCTGTTAATGAATACAGCACAGGCAGTATCAATGGCCACATTGAGCTGTTCATCAACTCCTGGGGCTTCCGTACCAGCTTGAGTCTTGGCACCTCTGCCTGTACGAGCGGAGCCGTCAGCGGAGCATCCCGCACGTCTCTCCAGTCCCGGAGAAGTTCTTTTTGCCAGAGATTTTGCTGAGCTGGACGAGGAAGCGCGTGGCCTAATTTAGTGTCACTTTGGGAAAGGGCAAAAGTTAACATGGGGAAAAAGCACGGGCTGGGTGAAACCAGATTCTCCGCAGTGCAGAGGACCCATAACCCCTTGTGCTAGTTAAATTAATTGCTAATGGCTTATATCAGGGCATTTTCCTCTCCTTTCATTTTTAAGTTGTTTTAAGTTAATTAAATGCCATCAGGCACACTTTAAAATGGCCCACAAAAATGAATTAGTTCTTTTTTTTTTTAAAGGACTTTGCCATTTTATATCAATTTTCATTTTTAAGATTTTCTATTCAAAGGAAACTAAAGAATGCGCAAAAGCCCGAGGTCTCCATAAATGGAAGCTTAATTTTATTGCATTTATCTCTATGGCTGCAATTAATTATTCAGAGTGTTCATTAAAAATCACAGTCTTGGTAAGTGACACTTCTTAAACAGGCATTCTGAGTTTATTGAAATTGAAGGATGTGGTGATAAAGAATTTGATGTCCAAAGAAATGGTAGCAAAGTATCTCAAAGGAGCTTCAAAATGTCATTTGAAACTCGCAAGTCGAATTGTAGAGTACCTTGAAAAGTTTTTGGGGTACGGTGAAGCAAAGCAGACAGGTCTTGCCTTGGGCGGAGTTCTTTCCACTCACTGGAATCGGGAAGTGTGGCCTGGACAACCAAAGGGGACGGCTGCTGTGTGAAAGTGAACGGGAATGGCCTGTTCTCACAAGAGCCTCCTGTGTGCCACGGAGCACGTGTGGATCACCGGACTGTGTAGATGGAACGTGCCTTTACCTAGAATTGATGAGAGAAAAGCAAGCTTAGAAAAACTTGCTGAGGGAAGCAACTGGAAATTTTGGGGAGCACCGGGGGAAAAAAATCCCAGTGAAATATTTTCTCTTTTTGAAAGAATAAAATGCTTTTACTCGCTCAAGATGTGCAGTATGGACATTGCTTTTTGTAAACTACTACAGCATTAGAAAATGATAATGTCCGTGTACACTGAAAGCTTTCAAGGATATGTAAATGTGACTGACTTTTGCCCACAATTGATGTGCTGCTGTGTATATGATGATCATCTGCTGTTGAAGAGTTCAGTGTTTTCAGGGTTATAATGTTTATCTCTATAGTGCCAAATGTATTGCTAGTCCTGAATGAGGTGGTTTCAGTCCATGTAATTTCTTCTGATTACTGCAAACTTTGGGTGTTCTGTTTTCAGCTTTTATTTTGCCCTACCTCTCAGGCAGCAAAAACTATCTGCTAAGGTAACATACAGTGCAACCCTGTGCTTCTCTCACAGATTCTAGTATTGATCATGTTTGCAGCTTTGCTTGGGACATTTTAAGGTGTGGTAAGCCGTGGTGGCTTAAGTGGTTAAGACGCTGAACTGCAGGCTGTGGAAGGTCAGTAGTTCAGCAGTTCGAGACCCGGATGCCGCATGATGGAGTGAGCTCCCGTCTCTGGTTCTAGCTCCTGCCAGCCTAGCAGTTTGAAAGCGAGAAATTGCAAGTAGATAAATAGGTACCACTTCGGTGGGAAGGTAACAGCGTTCCGTGCGCCTTGGTGTTTAGTCATGCCGGCCCCATGACCACGGAAACGTCTTCGGACAGCACTGGCTCTTCGGCTTTGAAACGGAGATGAGCACCGCAACCCTAGAGTCGGATTCGACTGGCTTTCGAGCAAGGAAAAGCCGCCCAGAGCCTGTTCATAGGGTGGGCGGGGTATAAATGTAAATATAAATAAAATAAAATTATAGCGCAGTCCTAAGCAGAGTTACACCCCTGTAAGTGAAATCAACAGCTGCCCGTACATGTCCCTTCTCTGTTGTGGCCCCTACCTTGTGGAGTGGTCTACCTGATGGGGTCAGGAAATCTCCCACCTTCCTGGCTTCCTGCAAGCTATGCATAACTGAATTATCCAAGAGGGCTTATTTGCGTAGGAAATCGGGATGTACTTAAGGTTGAAAACTTCCAGGTGATGGATGAAGATCTCCTGGGGTTACAACTGATTTCCAGGTAACAGAAGTCAGTTCAGCTGGAGAAAACAGCTGCTTTGGGAGGTGGACTCCATGGCATTATACCCCATTGAAGTCCTTGCCCTCCCCAGACTCTGCCCTCCAAATCTCCAGAGAGCCAGTTTGGTGTAGTGGTTGAGCGTGGACGCTAATCTGAGAAAACCGGGTTTGATTCCCCGCTCCTCCACATGCAGCTGCTGGTGTGACCTTGGGTTAGTCACAAGTTCTCTCAGAGCTGTTCTCTCAAGGGCAGTCCTCGAGAGAGCTCTCTCAGCCCCAGCTCACAGGGTGCCTGTTGTGGGGAGGGGAAGGGAAAGGGGATTGTAAGCCGCTCTGAGACTCCTTGGGTAGTGAAGGGCAGGGTATAAATCCAATCTCTTCTTCTTCAGATATTTCCCAACCCAGAGCTGACAACCGTAGCTGTGGCCTAGGTTAGAGGATTGGGGGCTATAGACTGTACCACTGTATATAGTTCATATTGTCTGTTGCTCTAAAGAGGCTCCTAGGGTGTAATTTATGGTTTTGTTTAACGCTGTGCTTCACCTCTGTTTGGTTTTCCAGATCCCTACAAGTCAAATGCCTGCTGCGTTGTCTTTTGGATGGCCCAGTAATCTGCCTTGAGTCCCAGTGAGAAAGGCGAACTATAAATAACATAAATAACTCATCAGGGTATATCTGTGTTTAGGATGGCATTGTGGGGCATTTATACCTTAAAATTTAGTAAACATGCCAATTAGTATAATTTCATACACTAGGGCTGCCAAGTGGGGGCGGGGGGGGGGTAAACCCCCGCTTTGGAGGCCCGATTTCCGCCGCCACGGAATTGGGCCCCGGGGGGAACTCCACCCCCCGAAGCGCAGCGTGGCTGCGTCACCAGAGGTGACGCAACCACGTCGATCACATTGGGGGCGTGGCCCCGATCGTCGGAGGGAAAACTCTATGGTTTTCCCTCCGATGATCGGGGCCACGCCCTCAACGTGAGCGACGTCACGTGTCACTTCCGGTGATGTGCTGGCGGTGCGCGTGCGCACGACGAGGAACGGCTCCTGGAGCGCGGCGAGGCTCCCCCGCCGGTAAGTAAAAACCACTTGGCAATCCTATCATACATGAACATCTTATGTTCTTAAATCACTAAGAGGAGTTTGGTGTTAAGAGGAAACCATGTATTATCAGTTTCCCCTAACATTTCTGGGTTTTTCTCCCCAGGGGAGTGGAAGGAGTACCAGGAAAACTCCTATTCCCCCCCCCCCCCTTTTGGATTTCTAACCATCTCTTACATCTCTTTTCCTGTGGTGTTTCTTCTGGTTAGCTCCACAAATTGATGTCCCTAGTTGAATGGGGGCGGGGGATCTGTTGCACACATAACTCCCCACATAGGAACTTGAGCCATTCTTGGATTTTAAGAGTTTGCAGGCTTTCTCTTTCCCCGTGTATTTTGCATTGATAAAATATTGAATAATTGTGCCAGAGGTCAGAGGCCATTACATAATTCCACTGAACCAGTCCTCCCCTTGAAAGAATTACGAGTTCTAGGAATAGTACAGAGATCAAAATATGATGAATTACAAGCTTTAACATTTGGTACACAGTAAATATCCTTGAAACCAGGGGAAAGGGAGGGAGAAACTAAACACATCCAAGCTTCACAAGAGTTGCTGTGCTTTTTATGGAAGTACTCATTAAAATACCAAGTGGTATTTTAACGATTGACTGCAGAGCATTTTCTCCCTTTCATACTTTATAATTTTCTCTCTCTCTGTATTGTGTCTTTACAGTGTCGTCCCTCAGACCACCGTAATACTTAACAACGATCGCCAGAATTCCATTGTAGCCAAGATGGTGGGGCAAGAAGAACCATTGAACAGAGCAGCAGATTCACTGGAGAATATCCTTAGCAAGTTAGTTACGGCCTCTGTGTAAATTTCTCCAACCCTAACCTCTTTAATGCTGCACTGTTTCCAGCAGGAAAGCAGTTCTTAATTCTGTATATAAAAAGAAACCAAAGATCTAAGCAACTGCAAATATTTTTAATAATGAAAGAAAGGGACAGAATAACTTCTAGGACCTGAAAGCTTTATACAACTTGGGCACATGGAAGAAGGAAAGCAGCACTGGGAAATGGGAGGCGGGGCTATTTATGCATGTCTTTGGTGAGAGTAAAAGTGAGGCACTGCTTTGGGGATGGGCAAGAACTTGAAAAATGCGGTTCGTGTTGGTTCATGGTTCGTGGCTGAACTACATAACCTAACTGAACTGGGAGGTTGGTTTGTGAACTGAGCTGGTTCACGGTTCATGGCCCTACAAACCCAGTTGAAAGGGACCACAGTCCCTTTTAAAGGACTGCACAAGAAAGCCCAAAAAACAGCTGAGCGGTGGGGAGGCGCCCCCCGCTTCTCAGCTATTTTTGTACCTTTTGCAGGGAACAGAAAGCAGGGGTTTAAGGGACTTGGAGTCCCTTAAAACCTCTACATTCTCCTCTATCCACAAGTTTGTGGAAGTTCATGATGGTAGACACATCATGAACTTTGGTTCGCGGACCACGGACAGGGCAAAATTCATGACGAATTTTTTATTGGGGTTTAAGGGACTTGGAGTCCCTTAAACCCTCTACATTCTGCTCTATCCACAAACAGCCACAAACTACTTTAAAAGTTTGCGGAAGTTCGTGATGGTAGACATATCATGAACTTTGGTTCGCGGACCACAAGCAGGGCAAAATTCATGACGAATTTTTTATTCGCGGTTCAATTCGTGCCCATCCCTACACTGCTTCCTATCTCTAAAGAGCTTGTGACTAGACCTAAAATATGTTTTCTGGGTGAGTAGCTGGGCCTGTGTCAGAGCAACAGAAAGGGGCAAGCTCCAGTTTATTGCCCATCTCCAAACACACACACACACACACTCTGCCCTCAACAAGCTTTGGAAGGAAAGGGAACAGTTTTGAGTATGATGGCTGTGCAAAGGCGCCTGATTCTTTGGGCAGACACTTGCAAGTTGTCTCTGTAAAGTCATCTTGATTCCTTTCTTTGGTGTTGGCTTACTTAACATTGGTCTTGGACTGGTACGTGAAAGTGGAGCTGCAGAGAAAACGGCCCAGTCTCTGTGGAGAACTGAGGCAGGCATGTGTGCTCGATATTTCCAAATGCACCACTTCTCAACTGTATCCAGGACTACAGGTCTTCATATACATAGTTATTGTTGAAGCCCCACCAGTAGTATATCGGCATCATCTTAACTAGGTTTTGCTGTAACACTAACACTTAAGCAGTCAGCCAGATACAAGTCCAGTGGCACCTTAGAGGATTTGGGGGTATAAGCTTTCAAGAGTCAAACTCCTTTGAGCTCCCCGGGGGGCTTTGACTCTCAGAAACGTATACCTCAAATTCTTGTTGGTCTCTATGGTGCTACTGGACTCATATCTCGATGTTCTAGACCAACATGGCTACCCTCTGATTTAGCAATGCTTAGTGTTGTATAGCCTGCATAAGCCAACTGGTGAAGAGTAAGGCAGTGGTCCATGGTGGAAAGACCTTTGCTGAATCCTGCTTGATGGGGATGGATAATGTGGTTCTCGGAGACCCAGTCCTCCAGCTTAAACAACAGGTATTTGCTATATACTTTTGCTGCTATATCAAGCAGACTTATTGGTGTGTAAATCTGTGGGTCTGTTTTGTCCCTGTTCTTATGAATGGGGACAATAATACTTAGCTTCCAACCAGAGGAAATTAAACCTGTGCCATTAATTTGTGTGAAAACTGCAGCTAGCACAGATGACCACCATGTGGGAAAAGCGTTATAAAAATCTGATGGGATCAAGTCTTCCCCTGGAGATTTTCCAGAAGCCAATGAGTTAATTATACCTTTGATCTCTTTCGCTGAAACTGGGGCCCATTCAGGGAGGTCTGAGGTACCTAAGATGGAACTCTGTGGCTGGGATATAACTACAGGGAAAGAAGGTGCGCATGACCCAAAAACCCTACTGAAGTCCTGTACCTAACTTTTAGGAGGGATATGTGATGCTATCTGTCGGGAGGAGCTGTTTATACCACTGGATACACTGGATACAATCTGGTTGATCACAAGCTAAACATGAGCCTGCAGTGCGATGTGACTGCGAAGAAAGCTAATGCAGTCTTAGGATGCATTAACAGAAGCATTGTGTCCAGATCACGGGAGGTGGTCGTTCCGCTCTATTCTGCTATGGTCAGGCCTCACCTGGAGTCCAGTTTTGGGCACCACATTTTAGGGAGGATGTTGACAAGCTCGAGCGTGTCCAGAAGAGGGCAATCAGGATGGTGAGAGGGTTGGAATCCAAGTCTTATGAGGAAAGGCTGAAAGAGTTGGGTATGTTTAGCCTGGGAAAGAGAAGGCTTAGAGGAGACATGATTGCAGTCTTCAAGTATCTGAAGGGCTGTCCTGTAGAAGATGGAGCAGATCTATTATCTCTTGCTCCGGATTGCAAGACTAGATCTAATAGGTGGAAATTACAAGGGAGTCGTTACTGGCTAAATATCAGGAGAAACTTCCTAACTGTAAGAGTGGTTGAGCAGTGGAACAGACTGCCTTAGGAGGTGGTGGATGTTCCTTCGCTGGATGTTTTCAAGCGGAGGCTCTTTCGGGTATGTTGTAGGGCTGTCTTTCGGCTATGCTCCTGCAGAGTGGAGGGGGTTGGACTAGATGAGCTGCAAGGTCCCTTCCAACTCAAACATTCTATGATTCTGTGATTCCCAGAAGTGTGCTTCATATTTCCTTGAGACAGCCAGTTCGAACTCATTCCATAATGATTTGGCGTAGTCCCTTTTCTTTAATTTGATTACATTTTTATAATAAGACCTAAGTTTCAAGAGATGAGGCCTCAGATAGTCGTAATTGTTCCTCCTTACCAGTCTCATTAGTCATCAGTGTCGTATAGCACGACACTGAAATTGTTAAGCCTGCATCACTGTGCTCTCCCCACATTGCGTAAATTCCTATTTCCCTTCCCAGTGCTGTTCCTGGACGTAGACAGAACACCATCGTTGTGAAGGTCCCAGGGCACGAAGACAGCCACAACGAGGATGGGGAAAGCGGCTCTGAAGCCAGCGACTCGGTCTCCAACAGTGGCCAGTTGGGAAACCAGAGTATCGGGAACAACGTTACTCTCATTACACTGAACTCCGAAGGTATGTGGGATACGAGTTAAGGTCTTGGGACAACTTGGCTTGGGTGCTGGAACTTGGCTTGGGTGCTGGAAATGCAGTAGGTCTGAAAGCACAGCAGTACGGTGCGCACTCCTCTGTGACGACTTTGTTCAACGAGCCCTGGAGTTAATGGGACAGCCCCGAAGTGGACTCTGTGGCTGTTTTGGAAACAGTCCTCTGCAGGGGTCATTCCGTAGAAAAAGAGGTGCAGGAGCACATTAGCACATTTGCATATGCCACACTGACATCACTGGAAGTGTGTCAGAAGGCAACACCCACAGCTCAGGCTCCACTGGGCTGTTTTGGATTGCTAGCTGTTTGGGGGGGGGACGTGCAGATCTGTCCTCACAGAGGAGGGAGAGCTTGTACCTGAATAAAACTTGGTCTTAAAGGTGCCAGGGGCGTGTGTTGGGCGGGGGGGGCGGGGGGGGGGGGCTCTGCAACTTACCTGGCTGCTTCTTGCTCTGACTGAGGGCTGCTGGGAGCAGGGGGTGGGGCTTGTTGCATGTGCCCGCCCCCTGGGCTCTTTACGGCCGGAGCTCCGCTCCTGTGCGCTTCTGCAGGAAATGACCCCTGGTCCTCTGGGGAAGGTATTGCTTTGTTTCGTGCCAAAGAACAACGAGCCGCAAGCCTGATGGTGGTCTGCAAGTGGTGGTGGGGAGTGACTGCTCCCCCTGGCTTAATGTCTCTAGAACACAGTGTATTATAATTTTTAACGCAGCAGATGGTATGCGAAATAGCACATTAAGCAGTATCAGTGCGCAAATAAGTGGGCCAGCTTTCTTTCATTAGCTTTTCTTATAGGTGCAAACAGAACAAAACATTCCTGGGACATATCCAAAACAGAGTAATTTTTTTCAAGGGACCCCGGTGGTCTAATAGATCAAAAGCACTTGATTTAATTTTTTTAAAAAATATGTAAGGCTTTCAGAACTGCTTCTTAACCCTGCAGTTGCGCCTCAGAGCCGAAATGCGGCTCTGTGGAAGCAGCTAGGGTGCAACAGAACGCACCAGCATGCTGCCTTCTGCAAGTCATTTTGCCCTTCTGCTAATGTGGAACTGTTCTGAAAGTAAACAGTTGCTTTGGCAGCTCCAAACATTTTTAATAAAAAAACAACAACAGGAAATTCCCATCAAAAACGTATTGTTTACAAGATAGCCTTGTCAGCGGTGTCTCGGTTTCCAAAGGCTGCTCCATTCTGCTCCTCAAGTCTCAGAAAAGGAGCGTTACTGGAATGCAGCCCTTTTCAGTATGCCTCCAGCAACCATATTCAGTGCAAAATGAAAGCGTTAAGACAGCTGTCAGTCCAGTCTCACGTGTGGCACAGGATGTGCTGGGCACTCAGAGAGAGGGCCCGAGGGCCCAGTGCTCCCTGTCAACCTGAGCCTGGGCAGGCAGACTGCAGGCTAGGGCGACGCCGGTGCAGCATGTATCGCTGTCCCCCCGCGGCAGGGATCCTGTGACGACGCACGGATCCCCCGCCGCGGCTTGGCAGCCCTACTGCAGGCGGATGCTTCCAGGCCAGAATGGCCTTCTAGGCAAAAATAAAGATAGAAAAACCTCTCCACAGAGAGAACTAGATGTCTGGGAAAAGAAAATGTGCTGGAGCCACAAAACAAGCCAGTCAAGGGACCAAAAACTGGACATTTCAAGCTTTCAGAGGAAACAAGGTAGGCAGTTACAGGGCAAAATGAGTCAAGTCATCAGGGTTAAAAAAAAAAACAACAGCACCCAACCTCACAGCTAGCCAGTTGCATAGACAGAAAAGATTTCCCTTTTTTTCTGCCTCTAGCTGGTAACCTCGTGCTGATTGGCCTGACCGACAAAGTGGTGAGCCACCTCTTCAGGGCTGGCGGCAGCATACACTGAGCCAGGGGCTGTGGTGGCTCCTGGCAGGGCCCACTGCTGCTGACCCCCTACTCACACGTCATAAGGACAGAAGAGAAGCCAATGGTTCGATCAGGCCAATGGCCCATCCAGTCCAACACTCTGTCACACAAAGGCCAGAAATACCAGGTGCCCTCAGGAGGTCCAGCGGTGGGGCCAGGACACTAGAAGCCCTTCCACTGTAGCCCCCCCAACCTCAAGAATACAGAGCATCCCTTGCCCCAGACCGAGAGTTCCTATCTACACCTTGTGGCTAAGAGCCACTGATGGACCTCTGATCCAGATGTTTATCCAATTCCCTCTTATAAGAACATAAGATAAGCCAATGTTGGATCAGGCCAGTGTCCCATCCAGTCCAACACTCTGTCACATAGTGGCCAAAAATACCAGGTGCCATCAGGAGGTCCAGCAGTGGGGCCAGGACACTAGAAGCCCTCCCACTGTTGCCCCCCCCCCAAGCACCAAGAATACAGAGCATCCCTTGCCCCAGAGTCCCTATCTATACCTTGTGGCTAAGAGCCACCGATGGACCTCTGTTCCATATGGTTATCCAATTCCCTCTTGAAGCCGTCCATGCTTGTAGCCGCCACCACCTCCTGTGGCAGTGAATTCCATGTGTTAATCACTCTTTGGGTGAAGAAGAAGCCTCGCAGAGCAGAGAACGGGGCCAGCAGCTCTTCAAATTACACCCAGGCAATAAAATTACAGTCAAACAATCACCCTTTCTCAAGCAACAACTTAAAACTCACCAACACGCTCCCAAACACAGTCCTCCTACACTGTACCCTCAGCTACATCACCTCAGCTGAAAGCAAATAAAAACCACTCACCCTTCTAGCAGCTCTGTCTCCTGCTGCTTCTTAGAGCTCAGCTGGGGGTCTCCTCATCTGACGCCTGATCTCTCACCTTTCCACTGCCTGCTCGTGAGTGCTTGTCATCTGTGCTTCCAGCTGCAAAAGCTGCCTAGCGGTGCTGTAAAAGGGCATGTGGATGGTGCACCCGACATCTGTGTTCTGAGCAGCCACTGCTAGCTGCACCCACCATCCAGCATCACCGGGGAAAGGGCGTGCAGGCAGTGTGGGCAGCTATTACTGCAGATGGTAGGGGAGCTTGAGGTGGGCAGGAGAATAATGCACAAGCAGGTGGGGGCACATGGGTGAGTGGAGAAGAAGAGGGGCCTAAGAGTGGGCACTCTCAGTCAGCCCCCCCCCCCCAAACTTGGAACTGGCCCAGCGCCCGTGAGCCATGCACCTGTGTTACTTTGCCATGGCAGCATGGGCCTTGAACTCGTGCCCTTCCAGGATGAAACACAATAGCTGTCAATGGAAAGCAGCACATTTGCGGAGCTAACCCCTGATCTGGCAGAGTCGTTAAACCTCCAAGCTCTAAGTGGTATAAAATTTGGCTGTATTGTTGCTTCTATGGATTAATCTGTCGGTCGATGTTCCAACTCTCCCACGTTGACATTTGTCCGGTTCGTTATTTGGTTGGAGGTGGTTCCTGGGCTCTGTCCTCAGAGTACAGGACTGCATCTTCCTGGCTAACGTGTTTGTCTTCAGGGAAGGTTTTTGAATTGTGGCCTTTTCCCTCTCTGTAGGAGGGGTGTGGCTGGCGAGATACAGTTCATTCGGAGTGCTCCCTCCAATTCACTGGAGCTAAAATGTGACTGCAGAATTGATGTCACTTCTGTGTTGAGATAATGCCCTTTGCAACCCCCCCAAAAAAAATGTGAGTGGTTTCTCTCTTCCCCCCCTCGGCTGTGAACTGAGAGAGTTGCCATAATGTGGTCCAGCAGTCAAAGTAGCAGATGACAGTTCGCGCCTCCTGCCCTTCCCCCAGATATATAGCAGGAAAGGCAATAATTTTGCCTAAGTTGTTTGTTTAAGGGAAGTCATTTCTATTGGATTAAAAAAAGAGGTTGCCGCTGTCTGACCTTTTCAACATGAGTCTTTGGCACAGATTTTCACACAGACAGATGTTGACTTTTTAGCAGGATTATTGTATTTATAAATGCTGACCCAACAGCTTTTGGGAGACCCATCAATTAAAGTCTCCGCTGAAATTTATGTACAGTTTTGAGAACCCAGATTAGTAACAGCAGTTTCCCCTTTGGCCACCATCCCCGCCCTGCCCTTCTTTGTTAGAAGACGAGCAGCAACTTTGCTGGACCCCAAAGACCGCTCATCCAAGAAAGCCACAGGGCTCCAGATAGCAGATGATAAATTCACACTCCAAGCTCACACGACAAAGCTTTGAGGAAGTCCAGTACTAGTCCAGCTACGCAGGAGGAGAACTGAAACTGAATGAGTCTTCCTGAAGGCCACACATAATGAGGCCATATTTTGGAAAGGTCTTTGAACAAAAGGCCCGTGATTGGTCTGTGGTTTAGTGCTAGAGCCTCTGTGTTGCCTGCAGAAGGTCCCAGGTTCACTCCCCAGCATCTCCAGTTAAAGGACCATGTTGGAGGTGATGTGAAAGACTTCTGCCTGAGAACCTGGGTAGTTGCTGCCAGTATGACCAGGCAACTGTCTTTGATGGACCAAGGGTCTGATTCAGTATAAGACATCTTCATGTGCGTTCAGCTGCAGCACAGAGAAGTATGTAAACTTACGCAACTGATGTGCCTTTTCAACGTTTTTTAAAAAACTTAAAGGTAGTTTCAAATGTAGAATGGGGTTCAGGCAGAAGAGATGTGTTAGGCTCAGAGGACTGTAGAAAATTATAAAGTGGTCACAAAATATTTGTCGCTTGGTAGATGTGCAGAAAAGTTGAAACCAACCGAAGAACATAGGGGTGACGATAACGCTGCCCTGTCCCTTGCCGTTGCGTTGCTGTAAAGTAGGATCCAAGCCATTCTGTTTGCAGATTTCCTGTCGTCGGGGAGCTGAAACAAATCAGGCCGGTTGCTGTCTCTGAATGGCTCGTGCTCACCTCAGGGAGCCATTTGTTTTGGGGCACAACAGCTTGCAAATTGTAGCTGTCAGCAGCTCATTACTAAGAGGCGGAGCAAGCCTTAATGGATCGGCTGGAAATATATGAAAAAACATAATTTTGTTATCAATATGAACCGGCGGTTTAATTTTTTAAAATATTA